TGGATGTGCATGTGTTAGAATCTTTTGTGTTAATTTAACCATAGATATTTGTCATGAAGTAGTGAGTGGTACTAATTTTTGTTTTACTAAAATAATAGGCTGTGACTTTGATTATATCATTCTAGTGACTACTAAACAACTGATTGAAGCTGATTATATAATGTATCATGATGTGCCAAAGTTACAGATAGGAATGAACATTAATCTTTCTAAAGCAATGCTTAAACATCCTGATATAGAAAAACTAGTCCAGGAAGTAAACAGAACGACTAAATGAATGCTGTGGTAAGTAGAACATGACACAGAAAGCATAAAAACTGTTTTAACCAAAGTAGAAAAAGTGGGAGAACACCACTAGTGGGACATCTTTACCAGATACTCCCCTACAGCATCCCAAGTGTTCCACTATTTGATACATCCAATATTGGTTTTAGGAGCTAGCATGATTATACTGCTAATCCTAATTATTTGGCTATGGTATAAATCAAGCATCATGGTTAGAAGGATGCAGATAATGTAGACTGTGATGCATGCCTACCAAAATCCATTGGAACTTGACGAAGGAATTCGTAAATTCTAAAGAAAAAGGGGGGAATGATATAGGGGGCTAGGCCCAAAAGAGTTAACAAGTTGATTTGGGCCTGCAAACAAGTTACCAATATTCAAAACGATCTGTACCCGTTCTGTTCTACTTACTGGACCAAAAGCTTAAGAGAATAGTACAAGAACATGTAATAGACTTAGAAGCAATAAATTAGAAGTATAACAGGATCAGGTAGACATTTGAATAGGAGAAATAGGCCTGGAGCCAGGGCCTTTTCCAAGCTTCAGTGAGCGGGTCAAGAACAATGGAAAGGAAGAAGGGTCAAGCTGAGGAAGATGAGTTAGAGACCCCTGCCCTATGGATGAAGATTGGAACTACCCCTCGAAATGGGGTGCCAAGAGAAGCACCACCCTGAGCTCCGCCTATACTCCGCCTATTTTAATATGTATTGATAGATGTTGTAATCGTTTGAATATGCATTTAATCACATCTGAAAATTGTATAAAAGCGCTGATTTTCTGAGGAGCCGGTGAGCAAGTTTGTCCAGCGCGAGCTGGCTTGCTCCCAACGTTGAATAAACAAATACCTGGCTGCTTAAAGATGAAAAGTCTGTGAGCAGTTTGTCAGACCGATTTTTTGGATTCAGCTGACAGGTTGAAAGGTCCTTGGACTTGCAAGGCTGATGCTGGTTAATTTTTTCTATTTGTTTAAGAGCTCGGGTCAGAGATAATAATCCCCTTTCCCAGTATCTTTTTTCAGTGTATTTTAATGCTATGGAACTGAACCCTAAGGGTCATTTGTGTCCATGAGGGCCTTTCTGGAACATATTACAGCAAGTCCCCTCTTCAGCAAAACCCAATTCAGCTATTATAGGATAACTGGAGTGAACTGGCCCCAGTGACTGATATGTTTTTAGCTCTTCTATCAGTGTTTGCAAAGCCTGTTTGTTACTATCAAGCCACTTCCAGGTCTGTTTTTTACCTCATTAATGCATACGAGGGTCATAGAAAACCCAGGAACATGATTTCTCCAGTATCCTAAGGTACCCAAGATCTCTTGAAGTTCCTTTCTAATAGTAGGAGTGCCTATGGCATCCAATTTTGTAATGGTTTCATGTAGGATTACAGCCTGACCTGCAATCCACCAGGTTCCCAGGAATGTCACCTCTTCAGAGGGGTCTTGGCATTTGGCAGAGGGCACTTCTGTCACCTCCTCATTTAATTTATTCTATATATTTACTGCACTTTCCTCTTCACCTCCTATCAACACACCATCATTTTAGTGATAGATTTGTACTCCTTTCAGGATTTCTATTTGTTGAAGAGTTCAGCTGAAGCATTGTGAGCAGCTGTAGGGCAGGTGATTAAAGGTGTACTGTGTTCCCTCCCAAGGAAATGCAAATTCGGGTTTATCTCCCTCCCGAAGTGGCCCCACGAAGAACACACCTTTTACACCCAGAACTGCCACCCCTGCACGTTCAGCTGCCGTGAGACTGGCAGTGCTTGGGACACTGCAGTGGTGGTCCTGTGTCAGCCCCTGACAATCAGTTGTCAAACACCACTCCCACCCAGTTTCCTCACTGGCTAAACAGGAGAGTTGTGTGAGGAGTGTGTCCTAAATATAAGATCCCTTTGTTCTAAATTTTTAATTACTTTATTTATCCCTTGTTTGGCTGCAGGATGAATAGGGTACTGTTTGATATTAGTCACAGCCAAAGCAGGTAAAACTGGAGCCATTTTTAATAGATTAATTTTTCTATTTTTTCCAGAAAATTTACTATATGGAGTTTTTTTTGTGGACCCGAATGACAAACATTCCCGTTGGGCAATTGCCAAAATTTGCCTTTAAGGATATCGTGATTGCAAATGTGTGTGAGGACATCCATTTCCCCCCAGGTAACCATAAACAGACCCTGGCAGTATAACATTTAATACTCTACCCGTTGAATCCCGTTAAACACACCCTTGTTCTTTGAAAAATTAAGTTTAATTTTCCAGATGATCAGAGATATTTGAGCTCCTGTATAAATCAGAAAATTCAAAGGTTGTTTCTAGGTCCTACTGGTAAATAGATAAGGGGCCTGACCACTGATAAGTCCTAATGTGCCTGGTGAGAAGGCCCAAGGGTCGCCCAGTGCTTGGTGGGTTTTTCCCTTTCGTGTTTCCAAAGGGCTGGGGGGTGTCATTCCTGGGGAGGCTTTTTGTGCTTCTCATTTCTCCTGACTGCCCTGGGTTTGTCCATAGTTTTCCTGTAGATTTGCCAGTTGCAGGGGAGTCCCAGGGAGGGGTTCTGACCATGTTCCTCTTCTGACCTCCTTGGGGTCCTTCGGGCACTTTGGTCTTAATCATGGGTCTTATTTTTAAGTCTGGAACCTCTTCCTCTCTAGGAGGTGGGGGTTCAATTGTTTCATCCGAGTCCCATTCTGCCTCACCAGCATTTTCATCTGGGCTTTCCCAAATATCACAGTCCCAATCCTCAGGTGATACTATTAATTTTCATATTTTTCTAACATCCAGAGGATTGGGGGGTTTTACTAATGTCAGGGTGTAATAATGTCAGGGTTAGATGGGATATTGGGAAGAAAATTTTTTAAATACATGGAGCATGATCTGACCACTGGAAAAATATTCTGTATTTAGGTATTTAACATTCCATTTCCTAAATCTACAAAGAACCCCAAAAAGCTCTTCTTTCTTCTGCAAGAAAAATGCCAGACTGTAAAGGCTCATAGGCCCTAGATTTAACACTGGCTAAAATTCAAAGTGGTTAAAACAAAACTACAAATAGGAGGTGTATCTCCCCCAAGACTCTGAATAACTCTGCCATGTGAAAAGGGGAGATTTCCCCAGACCCTCAATGTTTGATTGGTCTGTTGGTGCCCCAGGAAAGCCGAGCCCCTTGTGCCCCACCAGTCAGTCAGTGTCCCGTTATGGGGACCCTTCACCCAGCAGTTCACTAGGTCTGGGAGTAAATTATAACTAAACCTGAGATAAGTTAGGGGTGGTTTGACTGACTTGTTTAGGGTCACATGCCAAACACAGAAACCCCCTCTTGGGTCTCCACACCTTCACCCACTTCTGGTGGCTGCCAGCACCCATGAAGGACTCACATGAATGGTTGACAGAATAACCCTCTTTATTAATAAATTGTAAGGCTTGAAAATTGCTGGTGACAGTATCTAACTTCAAAAATGTAATCAAAGCAATGCTCAGACAAGCTCTAATCCCTAAGAAAAGCTGCCCTGAGCTACTGATTCAGCATGCACAGGGTGCAGTTCTTACCCAACGGGCCCCCATGGCACAGAGACAGGTTCAGCCCTGGCTGATCCCAAAGTCACAACGGAATCTTCCCCCACTTCTTCTTAACTCCCTTCAATAATTTTCATTTAGGTGGAGCCTGAGTGACTTTAGTCATCCATCTCACTCAGTGAGGGGTGGTCATACCTGGGGATGGGCATCTCTGTCCAGTACCTGAGACAACCTTGCGATGGGACACGGGCAGTCTGAGGAGAGGGATTTGACCGTGGATGCCAGTTGCACAGCAGGACTTTATCTTCCTTTATCTCCCTTGGCTTCCAGGTGCTGTGCAGCTGATCAGCTACAAGGTACCACCGAGTTCCCTCCTCTGCAAGGTTCTGACAGAGCCACGGGGTCCCCACTCTGCTCCACCCTCCATTTGGTCCCTGTTGGATTGTGCTGTGTGGGAGGTCAGGAATACTGACTGTGTTCCATCCAGAGAGTTAGCAACTGTATTTCCCCCTATTATTTAGTACTGTATCTTTTTACCCTCAGGCATCTTCCTACAAACTACTTCAACAAATTACAGAGCAGAAAAATGAAACTTTCATTTATTGAGGTATTGGAATAAAGTCAGATGCCTTTCTGGAATGGATGTAAATAAACATATGTAAAAGGAGAATGTAGTGAACTAGCAGTGCACTACTGTTTTACAGCAAGGCTCACAACATTTAAAATATTCACTCAGGGTGGGAAGAAGGGCATGACAGGCTGAGAGAGTTGGGGCTGGTCAGCCTGGAGAAGACTCCATGGAGAACTTAGAGCCCCTTCCAGTACCCAAGGGGGGCTTAAAAGAAGGCTGGAGAGGAACTTTGGACAAGAGCATATAGTGACAGGACAAGGGGGAAATGGCCTTAAGCAGAAGGAGTGCAAATTTAGATCAGATGCTAGGAAGGAATTCTTGGCTGGGAGGGTGGCAGGCCCTGGCACAGGTGGCCAGAGAAGCTGTGGCTGCCCCTGGATCCCTGGAAGTGTCCAAGGGCAGGTTGGACGGGGCTTGGAGCAACCTGGGCCGGTGGGAGGTGTCCCTGCCCATGGCAGGGGGTGGCACTGGGTGGTTGTTGAAGTCCCTTCCCACCCAAACCATTCCCTGGCTCTGTGACTCGGTGTCCCTCCCTGCCATGCCCAGCACACGGAACCGGCCCCTCTGTGACATCAGCCCCGGGCCGGGGGCACTGTGGGTGCTGTGGGCACAACGCTGGTGGCTGTGCTGGATGTGACCCCCGGTCCTGGCACTGCCACGTGCGCTGGCACCCATGGCTTGGCTGTGGCTCCTGGTCCTGCTGGCCCTGGCCGGGCCCGTGGGTGGCACCTGGGACACTTGCGAGTCAGTGACCCTGGGACGTGGGAGGGAGCTCGGGAACACTGGGGGGGTTCCCAGCAGAACGGGGGCACAGACGTGCCCTCGGGGGTCCCTGGTCCTGCTGCCCCTCAGCGCAGTGTGGGGGGGACAACAGGGGACCTGAGCGGCCCCTGGGCAGGGCAGTGATGGCTTTGTGCTTCCAGAGGGACCTGCGGGCTCCGGCCCATGGCTTCCGACCACAACTCCCTGATTCCCGACGGCCCCGTGGCTTTGGCCGACGGCACGTCCCGCGTCGTGGGGGGCACCGGTGTCCAGCCGGGGGCCTGGCCTGGCATCGTCAGCATCCAGGCCACCTGGAAGAATGGCACGTGGCACATGTGCTCGGGTGTCCTCCTCAGCTTCCAGTGGGTCCTCACGGTCGCCCACTGCTTCATCAGGGCCGGGTAAGGAGGGGCAGGGACAGGGATGTCCCCACAGCTCGGGCACGTGCCCAGGTCACAGCACCACGTGCTGCTCCCGTCCGGCTCTTTCCTCTCTGCTTCCCTCTCTCCCTTGGGAAGCAGAAGGCTGGGAAGCTGCCACAGTCCGTGGCTCTGCTCCCTCTCACCCCTCTCTCCATCAGGGACTTCTACCGGTGGGACGTGGTGATCGGGGCCACGGATCTGACTCAGCCAGGCCCCAAGGCCAAGGTGAGGCACATCCAGAGGCTCCTGGTGCACCAGCACTACGTGGCTGCCACGGCAAGGAACGACATTGCCCTGCTGGAGCTGGACCGACCCGTGGAGTGCAGTGACTACATCCAGCTGGGCTGTGTGCCCGACACCTCGGTGAGGGTCTCGGACCTGAAATCCTGCTACATCGCGGGATGGAGTTTCGCCACACCAGGAGGTGAGGCCCTACAAGGACATGTGCCCTGAGGGTGCGATGGGCACCCCATGGACATGGGCTGGGCACCCCATGGACATGGGCTGGGCACCCCAGGGACATGGGCTGGGACCCCATGGACATGGGCTGGGACCCCGGGGACATGGGCTGGGCACCCCGGGGACATGGGCTGGGTATCTGGGGACATGGGCTGGGACCCCGGGGACATGGGCTGGGCACCCCGGGGACATGGGCTGGGCACAGCCACAGTCCAGCTGTGGCTGCAGGACATCAGCAGGGCCAGGTCTCGGAGCAGCCTGGGCTGGGGGAAGGGGTCCCTGCCCAGAGTGGGGGGTGGCACTAGATGAGCTTTAAGGTCCCTTCCACCCAAACCATTCTGTGACTCCCTGAAGACTGTGGAGAGATGGGCCTGGCCCTTTCCCCAGAGCCAACAGCAGGGACACAGGGGGACAGTGTCACTCCAGGGGCAAAGCCAGTTCTGGGGAAGGGGTTCATCACAAGGCAGGGGAGGGGATGGGTGCTGTGGAATGAGCTGCTGGAGGCTCATTGGCCCTCATCTGGAGGCTCATTTCCATCTGTTCCTACAACTCCTGGACCAGATGTGGTGCTGCAGGAGGCCAAGGTCCACCTCATGGACACAGAGCTCTGCAACAGCAGCCGGTGGTACGGGGGGGCCGTGCACCCCGAAAACCTGTGTGCTGGGTACCCGCAGGGCGGCATCGACACCTGCCAGGTGGGAGCGTGGCACCAGTCCCTCAGACCTGCCAGCACAGGGACCCCCTGACCCCAAACATGGCACGGGCTGGGCCTGGGTCCCCTCTGGTCCCCATCGCTGCCAGGGCTGCCCTGTCCCATGTCCCCCATTCCAGGGCTGCCCTGTCCCATGTCCCCTATCCCAGGGCTGCCCTGTCCCGTGTCCCCTATCCCAGGGCTGCCCTGTCCCGTGTCCCCTATCCCAGGGCTGCCCTGTCCCATGTCCCCTATCCCAGGGCTGCCCTGTCCCATGTCCCCTATCCCAGGACTGCCCTCCCCTTCCCCATCCACGGGTCCTGCCCCGTGTCCCCTTGTCCCCAAGGCCTGGCTCTGCCCACAAAGCCCATCCAGTGCTCCTGGCAGCCCCGAGCTGCAGATGTGACCCTGGATCATCCATCCTCTGCACATCTGGGACCACTGTGCAGAGATGGGACAGCCCCCAGCCTGCTCCCAGCCGAGGCTCTGGAGGCTCCAGCCCCCAGGCAGAGCCTCCCCATGCTGGGAATGTGGCTCTGGCAGGGGCTGGGAGAGAGGAGCCAGCCCTGCTGCTGCAGCAGCCCCCCACAAACCCTGAGCCCTCTCTCCTGCCACAGGGGGACAGCGGGGGTCCCCTCATCTGTAAGGACAACAGAGCTGACTACTTCTGGCTGGTGGGGCTGAGCAGCTGGGGAAGAGGCTGTGACAAAGCCAGGCACCCCGGGATCTACACCTCCACTCAGCACTTCTACAACTGGATCCTGCTCCAGACGGGCCTGAGCCCAGCAGAAAGAGCCGGTCCAGAACCAGAGCCAGCCATCACCTCGACCCCCGAGCAGTATCTGAGGCCAGTGACAGAGCCAGACATCAGCCTGACCCCTGAGCAGCATCTGAGGCCAGCGCCAGAGCCAGACATCAGCTTGACCCCCAAGCACAGCCAGAGACCGGCACCGACCTCCTCGGCCTCATTAATGCCCACGGCATTCCCACTCCTCATCCTGGTGCAATTCCTGAACCTGCTGCAGGACTTCCTGCCTTTCCTGAAGGACAAAAAGGCTTAAGCAGCGGGATGAGCGGGATCCAGGGCTACAGTGGCCACGGCCATTTCCTGCTGGGCCAAAGGTAGCCTTGGGGCCAGAGCCTGCTCCGTCCTGCCCACGCTGCTCCGCTGCACCCACACCGATGCTGACATGACCGAGGTGCTGAAATAAAGTTCCTGTGTTCCTCATTAACTGTGTTTTCAGCCCTGCTCAGTGCACCCATGGGCTGGGAAAGTCCCTGCTCTGTCTGTCAGTCTGCTGGGCTGTTCACATTCGTTCTTTGGCTTGAGTGAGATGTGCAGTGGTGAGGGCCAAGCCAAGGGAGATCCTGCCCAGAAGGGCTCCCACAAGAAGGGAGAGGCCCAGCTGCCCATCATCACAGCTCCAGGGCACAAGAAACATCACTGTTCTCTGTGCAGGCCCCAGAAATGCAATGCCAAGGGAAACCGGACTCAGGGTCCAGTGGCAAAGGAAAACCAGGCTCAGGGTCCAGGCTTAGGCAGGTGGGGTTTCCTCTTCAGGGCAGCTCTTCTCTTTATCTGACGAATCCTCGTTCGTCTTCTGCAGGTCAAAGCTCTGGAAAAGAGCAGGACAAGGATTTGCTGAGAAGTGACAGAGACTGCAACAGCTTCATCTGCTGTGGCTCTTTCAGACTCGGCCTAGTGCAGCAAGGGCTCCTCTGAGGGTCCCGGCCTCGCCCCTCCCAGCCCAGCCCAGCACACCCCCCCACGGGGCAAAGCTTCCCGTGCTGCACAGTTCCACCCTGTGCCACGGGGAAAAAGGGCAGAGCTGCTCCATCCTCAGGACACGGGGAGAAACAGAGCCTTCCCTACCTCCAGCTCCTGCAGGAAAGAGGGAGCAGGGACAGAGCCTTCCCTACCTCCAGCTCCTGCAGGACCTGGTCCATGAAGTCTCCCGAGTGCTGTTTGTAAGCCACGGCCAGTCTGATGGCATCGTTGAAGAGCTGGGGGAAAGGACAAGGCCCATCACTCCCAGGATGGGGCACATGGGCACCGGGTTTCTGTAGAAGATGGAGACTGTTCCCAAATCCCAAGGGAACCTCTGCAAACTCAGTAGCCACCAGCCCCTCAGGGAGCTGAACTGATGGACCAGCCCATCTGCCGCTGCCCGTGCCCACAGCAGCCCCCGTGTCCCTGGGCTGCTGAGGGGCCCCACGGACACCGAGCCCAAAGTCAACCAGCCCATCTCACCTTCACCACGTTGGTGCCGTCGGCAGCAGACACAAAGTAAAAGGGCAAACTGAACTTCCGGGCAAAGTTGAAGCTTTTCTGGGTCACCTTCATATCCGCTGGGGCAGACAAAGGAGACAGGGTCAGTCAGACAGGGCAGGAGATCCCAAGGGTGGGCATCCCCTGGGTGCCACACCAGGCACTGCCACAGGACCCAGAGAGCCACAGCCCCAGCAATCTTGAAGGACTGGCTGGCATTCCCAACGGGAGGGAACCTTCCAGCCACCTGCAGAGCCAGGTGAACAGTTTTGCCAGCAGGTACATTGAGGCACTTCAGCACAGAGGAGCCTGTGCAGGCTGAAGAAGGAGCACCAAGGCCATCCCTGAGTGATCTGAGGAAGCCATAAAACAGCTTTTTCTCCTTTTCCTGCCATTTTTGACCAGGTGCTGCTCCAATCACCTTTGGGTTCTTTCTGGTGGTAAGGAAGGAATTGAAAGGACATCACTGGGATAAACCTCAAATGGATCCAATCTGCATTTTTAACTGCTGGTGACATAGGAAAACCACCTGTGAGACAGCAGGCGAGATCAGCAGAGGACCCAGCCCAGGGGACCCAGGAAATCCTCTGGACCCAACAGACATAAGAGTGAATCCCACCACAACCCTGGGAGGTTGGGTGCAGAAGGTACACTCACCATCAATCTTGTTGGCCACCACAATGCAGGGAATCTCCGGGCGGAATTCCCTCAGCTCCCTGTACCAGCTGTTCAGGTTCTTGTAGGTGACCTTCCGCTGCACATCGAACACCTTCCAAAAGAGAACCAGCTATGCTGGGGCCAGTCCAGGGCAGCTGTGACTGACCCTGGACAGCTCCGAGCAGCCTGGGACATCTCTGAGCAACACAAGGACAGAATCCAGAATGTTCCCCGGAGGACATGACAAAGGACACTGGGTGTTGTTAGAAAGGATGAAAGAGAAAGGGAGAGTACACACAAGCCTTAGTATATGCAGCCAGCAGGAAACAGCCCCTCGATGTCCTTTACACTGTGACTGTGTCCTGTGACAAGTTCCTGCCACCAACACAGGGAGCCAGCACCGGGAACTGTCAGTGCCCAGCAGGGTAAGATGTGGCATCCTCTGTTCTCTGTTCATCTCTGTTTAGTTCCTCTGACAACTAAAGCACCAGTGAAGGCGACTCATGCTCCCAGGTGGTGAGGTACAGTGGAAAGTGGGAGTAATAGGACAAACCAGGAGACATGAGCAGGTGAGGAGCAATGAAACTGGGAACAGGGACAAATGTGAGGACATTGAGAGGACAGCAGAGCCAGGAGATGGAGGACAGTACTGCCAGGAGAGACAGACCAGAGCTAAGTAAGCCCAGCTACAGGGGCTTTATCTGGTGAGAGAACAAAGAACAATCTAGGAAAATTTTCTGAACCACTGGAAGAGACAAGGAATAAATGGTAGCATAACCATAAAAGCAACACAAAGGCCAAGTGTCACCGGGACCGTTCCGAGCCCAAATCCCACCAGCTCCCGGCCCAGACTCCCTCACCATGATGCAGGCGTGGGCTTGGTGGTAGTAGGAGGCGTGCATGCTCTGGAACCGCTCCTGGCCCGCTGTGTCCCAGAAGTCTGTAACACAGAAACAGTTCAGAACGACACAGGTCACTCTGTTTTCCTCACAACTTACACCCCGGAGGCAGAGCCCAGCCCACCTGCTCCGGGTCACAAACTGGGTTTCACCTCACCAATCCAAAACAGTCGTGCCCAATTGGGAACTTTCCTTAGCTGGGCTCAGCTGAGGGCTGTGCTGGCACTGGCCACAAGCAAAGGAGAAGACACCAGTGACACGAGTTGTATGGGACAGCAGGATGAAACCAGGCAGAAGTGCAAAGAACAGCAGCAATGCCTGGCCCTCTGTCACTAGGGATGACAATGGGAAACCAACTAAAGCTCCCAAAGCTGCTAGAAACTGCTGATTTCTGCCCCAGTGATGGTCAGCCAGGGCCCTGCCAAAGGCAATGCTTCATCTCCTCTCACAGATATCCAGCTCTGCCTCCCAGGGGCAGGACTTGCTCTGAAGTGCTGGAGGTAAGTCAGCCTGAGGCAGACAGGTCCCAGCCCATGAAGCTCCGTGTACACCTGGATCCTGCAATGCCTTCTGCAGGTTTCTAGGCTCACATCTGGGTCTAGTTTGCTGTATAAATCTGCACAGCTTCAGCTAAGCACCCCAACGTGGTCACACCTCTGTCAGCTGGACCCAAGCATGCTGCTGCACCCAAATTCAAGTAGGTTGTAAGTCACTTTTCTTAGGGATTCCTCTGCTCTAATATTGGTGTCTGACCGGACACTGGGCCAGACCTGCAGGATGGTGACTTCTTAAAATGCCTAAATACAGACAGGTCCCCATCAGACCACATTTGCATTCACTGTCCCTGTCACAACAAAGATGCTGAACAGTGTTGGCCCCAACCCCGACAGACCCCCGAGGGACCCCCCTCATCCTGGTCTCCACATGGACAATGAGCCATGACCACGACTCCGCATGCAGCCATCCAGCCCGTTCCTCATCCCCCGAGTGTCCATCCGTCCACCCACCCGCCTATCCCCCTGTCTCTCCAGCTCAGAGCCCCGGATATCGTGGGGACAGTGCCCAAAGCTTTGCCAAGCCCAGGGGGACGATGGCAGTCGCTTTGCCCCATCCATCAACGCTGCAGTCCCGTCACAGAAGGCCACCGGATTCATCAGGATGTTGCAGTCTATCTAAAAGCCTAACCAAGATCCAGAGCGAGGAGATCTCCCCCCTCCCCAGCTGTTCCCTCCGCCACGTCCCCGGGCGCAGCCCGGGCTGTCCCCACTCACCCACGCGGACCTCCTGCCCGCCCACGCGGGCGCGGTGCTGGTACAGCGTCAGCGCGAACGTGGACAGCTGCTGGGGGCGGCTGCGGCGCGTTAAGGAGCCGACGGAGAGGCGCCGACCCCGCTCCGCCGCGACCACCGGCGTCGCTCCCCCGGCCCCCCCCTCGGCCGGCCCCGCTCCCCCGCTCCCAAGGATACAAGCCGTCGAGCAGGAACCGCTCCAGCAGCCTGCGGAGAGAGCGCGCGCCGCCGTGAGCCCGCGGGCCCCGCCGCTGGCCCCGCGCGCCCCCCGCGCCCCCACGCACTTGGACTTGCCCACGGCGCTGTCGCCCAGGCAGATGATCTTCACCGTCTCCTCAGCGCCGGCCGCGGCCTCGTCCCGCGCCCCGTCCCGGGCTTCCTCCCGCTCCCGCTCCCGCTCCCGCACCCGCGACCCCTCCGCCGCCGCCGCCGCCATGGCCGCGCCTGCGCGTCCCCGCTGCCACGCAACGCGCGGGGACCGTTCCTGGCCCCGCCCCCGCCCCGCCTCCCCTCCGCCCCCGCCCCCAGCGGGCCCCGCCCCCCGCCCGTGCGGCGCGGCCATGGCGGCCCCGCGGCTGCAGCTGACGCTGGCGCTGCTCAAGCCGGACGCGGTCGCGCACCCGCTGGTGCGGGAGGTGAGCGCCGGGCGGGACGGGGCGGGGCAGGGCGACACCGCGCCGGGCACCGCGCCGGGCACCGCGCCGGGCACCGCATCGCCCGCCCAGCGACGCCCCTGTTTCCTCAGGCCGTGCACGCCGCCATCCTCCGCCACCGGTTCCTCATCGTGCGCGCCAAGGAGCTGCGGTGCGGCCCCGAGCAGAGCCGCCGCTTCTACCGGGAGCACGCGGGTACGGGCGGGACTGCGGGGCTGCGGGAGCGGGGCGCTGCCTCGGCCCGGCGCTGACTCGGCCCGTGTCTCCCCGCAGGGCGGTTCTTCTACCAGCGGCTCGTGGAGTTCATGGCCAGGTACCTGCCGCAGGTGTGCGGGGCGGCCCCGCGCTGCAGGTGACCCGCGTGTGGAGGGGCCGCCCGGCGATGGGAGCCCCGCTGGGAGCCGCGGAGGGTGTGCGGGGTGTGCGGAGCTGGGAGGCTCCGGCCGCAGGGTGAGGAGTGTCGGGGTCCTGCAGGACAGGTCCGTGCCCCTTCCCGGGGTCCCGGCAGAGCAGCCCTTGGCAGCCGCACTGTGCAGGTTTCCAAGGACGAACGAGCTGTTCCCTTCGTAACCTTTTCTTCTGCTTCTCCTGGGCCCTTCCCGCAGTGGCCCCATGTGGGCTTACATCCTGGCCCATGAGAACGCTGTCCCTCGCTGGAGATCCCTGATGGGACCCACCAAAGTGTTCCGAGCCCGACACAGTGACCCGGACTCCATCCGAGGAGCCTACGGCCTTACGGACACCAGGAACACCACCCATGGCTCAGGTAGGCCTGTCCTGCTTGGCTGGTGCTCAGGGAGGCAGGAACAATGGTGCTTTGTCTGCCTTTGCTTTAGTTCTGGGGCTCCAAGTGGACGATGTGTTCCCTGGTGCAGACTCTGCGCACCAGCTGCCTTTGGAGCCCAGCACGTGTTCGCGGTGCCAGACAGGCATCTCCCATCACCTTTTCCTCTTTTCTGACAGACTCACCCGCCTCAGCCAGCAGAGAAATTGCCTTTTTCTTCCCCGAGTTCGATGAGCAGCGCTGGTACGAGCAGGACGAGCCGCGGCTGCGCCGTGGGCAGGTGTTCTACAGCCCCGAGGAGCGCGTGCACCGCGTGCTCCGGGCAGACGAGGCAGAGGTGACCTGAGTTACCTGCAGTAGGGCTTGCTTTGCTGAGCTGGCAGCACCTGTGGGTGCTCTGTTGGGGCACCAGACGGAGAGCTGTGCCACGCTTCAGGGACTGTGGGAGAGGGAGAGCCTCGTGTGCGGGATGTCGTGCTCCCCAGGGTCACGCTGTTGGGGCAGCAGGCGGGTGCTGGGGTGCTGTAGGAAGAGCTCCTCCAGCAATGCTCCCACTCACAGTCCGGCCGTGCAGCTACTGGCCCTCGAGTTTGGTTGGGTGTGAATAAGACAGGTGAGTTCTGTCTCCACCAGGGCCAGGTGGATCAGAGGTTGCTTGTTCCAGTTGGATTGCAACTGCTTTTGCTGGTGGTAGGCCTCGGGTTCTCTGTTGGCTGTTCCCGGTGTGCTTTAGGCTGAAAGTGGGAAAAAGAGCCCAAAAAAGGCATCAGCGGGGCAAGATGAACCGTGCTGTCCTCACTCATGTGCAGCCAGGTTGGAAAGCGAGGCTGTCCTGGGGTTTGTGTCCTGACTTGTGTCAGGTGGAGGCACAGTTGGAGCTGCTCCCAGCGGGAATGCAGCACATCCCATGAGCTCCACTGAGCCTGGGCTGACCTGCTGCAGCACAAAGGTTTGGAAGCACCTGGCAGGAAGGTGTGGAGAAGCCCAGTGCCTTTGAGGATCCTCTGGTTTGTGCTTTTGGTTTGCCTGGGGCACAAGAGCAGCAGATTTGGTGGAATTCAGTAGTGGCTGTGGAGCTCTGGATTTCCTGGATTGACAGTCCAGGGCTGGATAATGAATTTGACTGCAGGTGGCAGGGGCTGAGAAGCTTTGCCAGGGGCTCCTCACGTGAGGCCTTGTGACAGAACACCTGAGGGCAGCTCGGAGCCCTCAGTGTCTGTGGCCTCACTGGACAGTTCCGTGTCCTTGGGAAAAGGGATGAACAAAGCCATTTAGTTATCCGGATAAGTGATGGAATGATGACCTGGTGGTGCAGGAGGGCTGGGTGTGGAGGTACAGAGCCAGGTCCTGGCAGGCTGGTCTATGTTCCCCTGTGTGATGGTCTGTGAGGTCAGTTCCTGTACAGGGGTTTAGTGCATTTACACTGTTCCCCCACAGGCCTTTACGGTGCTGCTGCTCCAGTTCCAGTGCCGTGTTGTAGAGGGAATTCCTTCTGGTAATCCCAAATACACAGGCTGGGGAAGGTGGGATGTGCTGTGCTTGGGGCAGGAAGGCTGAGCCCGACTCCCCTTCCTGCAGGGAGGAGGGACAGGTGTGGATGGAGCTGGTCACTGCAGCTGGTGACAGTCTGAGGTTCACCAGTGCCCTGGTGTGTCACAGACCAAGGCAGGGACTCTGTGTGCTCCCAGAACTCTGTGAGGGGTTGGGCAGTGACTGACAATGCTCTCTTGTGGGAAGTGCTGCCCAGAGCTCTCATGGTTGAACACATCTGCAGTTGTGTTTCCTCTTCCTCCTGTCTGGGATCAAATGGTCATTGTTCTGTTCCAGGTACAGATCCAGGGATCTGCGGGACATTGCTGCTGTCCCTGTCCCCAGCAGTGTCCAGGGTGGATCTGCTCGGGATCCTGTGTGCCTTCACACAGGTCTGAGAGCTGCTGTCCTCGATGCTGCTGATACTTTACTGGTATTTTGTAAATTGGTGGTGATTCCTGGAGGATTTACTCAGTTTTGTGTGTTTTTCTTGTAGTTATTAAACTTGACCGTTTTTACCTTTTATGTTGTGCTTCCCTTTTTGGATATTCCTTCGGCACGTCACTAACTGATGATTCCTGGCTCACACTTCTCATTGTTGAAGTTTTGGGGTTTTCTCCTACGCACTTGCAGTTATTCCATTTGGGGAAATGGCCCTTTTGAACATGCCTGCACAGACCTCCCATGGCGATGGTGCACTTGGGTGCAACTGATTCCAGCAGTGTGAACAAAGTGGCTGCCTTGAACTTTTAACAGCCCACAACTTTTGTCAGCCCACAACTTTTGACAGCCCGCTCTGGGCCTCGTTTGCACATCTCACAGACGTGCCAGATGAGCAGGGGAAGTGCTCTGGGCTTTTGTAATTGGCACTGGCACCCCTGTGAGCTGTTCCCTGCGGAAGAGAGTCTGTGGGGAATGGGACCAAGTGGGCAGAGTGGGAACACAGAAACTTCTCTCCAACCTCCTGCTTAAAGTGCACTAATTGGCCCCGGGGGCAGAGCTGGTGCTCACACCTGGATGAGGAGCCTTGGGACTGGCTCCAAGCTAGCCATGGAAAGATGGAGGAAGGGATGAGACTGGCAGAAGGTGCCACAGCTGCCCAGGAAGGACCATGAACAACCATGAAGCAGAAGTGCTACCTGGTGGTGACAGGAGAGACTTTCCTTGCTGCTTTCTGAACACAAGTTGGCCAGGAAGAACCAGTGACTCAGGGCTGGTGCTGGGACCCCACTTTCCATTTCCAGGCTTCTGTAGATGTTGAACCTGCCCCAGACTGTGCTCTGCAGGAGGAATGGCTCTGGGGACAACAAACAGATGCTTCTCTGCCAGTCCCTATGAGGAGGCTATCCTGAAACCAGTGCCAGGCTCATCACAGTGGGACATGGAGGAAGAGGCAGCAGGCAAAATTCAGACAAAATCCACCATTTTCCTTGTCCCTGTCCCCAGAGGAAGTCAAAAAGACTGGGGAAGTCACCTCACAGAAAAAATAAATAAAAAAAACTTCAGCCAAACAAAAAAGTCCAAAGCCAACCAACCAAAAACCCAAATCAGAAACCTCCAGAAAACTTACATTAAAATTGACAGTTTTTAACCTGAATCCCAATGAGCCTTTCCTATGATGGGCAGACACAGCCTGTGGGTTTTCCCAGGATCAACACTGAACGGGAATGCTGCACTCCCACCCAGGTAGTACAGGCTTGGTCAACTGCTGGGTGGTCCAGAACCCATCCGTGAGCCACTGAACTCTTCAGTGTCACAGTGGGACCCACTGCTGGCAGGTGTGTTCCCACAGCCTCTCAGGTGTTCTCCCACAGCCCCCAGGTGCTGTCCTGCTCAGCTGTCCCCAGTTTATTCCTGCTGTGATGGTACCTGCATCCCCTACAGGAACAATAGCAACTCCCACGGCTGAGCATCCACTTGGGATGTACTGGTTCAAGGGAGGGCTTTGCTTTGCATTCCTGAAAGCTGTCTTAAACGTTAAAAATGAGATGTTTCCTCCTGTCCTGCTTCCCACCTGCTCAGTCTTTTCCCCACACCTGTGATGAAGAGTCAGGGGGCCTTTTCAGGAGCCTCCAACAGGCACAGGGGACACGAGCCATCACAGAAACACCGGGGTACAACTTGAGCCAGGCCAGAGCAGAAGCTGTTTATTGCTGCAGCTGTGAGGGAGGGCACAGCCCCCAGGGACAGACACACTGACACATCTGTGCCCAAAAGGGAGAGCACAGCCCTCAAGGACAGACACACCACTGCCCAAAAGGGGCACACAGACTAAGTTCACGTTTCTCTGCTCCGTCCTGCAAATGTGGGTCATCCTGCAAATGGAAACCCTTCCTGGGAACAA